AGGATACAAATTACCACTGAAACACTGAAACAAATGTATATAGTAACAAGATCGATGACGAGGAAAAATTTAACCAAAATACCTGACCTTCCATCGCAGAAGTCTGATCAACTCCATGTGTACGAAGCTGTCAGTAATTTGGAGGCTTTTGACTTGCCAAAATTAACGTTTTCATATAATAGAGATAAAACATTTATAAATTTGATAATATATAATAAAAATTTTCGGAAGAGACTAACCCCAACGTTAGCACTCGCATTAGAAAATCCTGAAAATTTTAAATTAGAATTAGGAAAAGCGCTTAAAATAATCGATGGCAGGCCTGCCGATAATACAAATATGGAAGGAACATTTCCAAAGAAGCTAGCAATACAAACAAACGACACTTTATTCAAACATATTGATTTAAATTCATTTAAAAATTTCGGTAACGCTGTTCTTAGGAACGCTACCATAATAATTTACGAAAAACCCGTTGAAATCAAAGCAAAGGAAGAAATGACTAATATATTAAAACAATACCATGACTCTGCAGTTGGAGGTCATATTGGTATAAATAGGCTATATAAGAAACTCAAATCCCTTTACAGCTGGCCTAATATGAAACGAATAGTTTCAGATTATGTCAGATCATGCGAACTTTGCTAAATATATAAACACGCGATACCGGTGAAAACACCAGTTATCGTTACTACCACACCCAACAAAACCTTCGATGTAGTGTCCATTGACACCATCCGTTGACCGTTCACACTCACTGAAAAAGGAAACCGCTATGCAGTAACACTGCAATGTGATCTTTCCAAATACGTGATTGCAATTCCAGTACCAGATAAAACAGCTGTTTCAATTGCCAAAGCAGTTGTAGAAAAATGCATTCTGATATATGGTCCCATGAAATGCATCAAAACTGACCAAGGAACAGAATACAAAGGAGTATTCGACGAAATATGCAATTTACTACAATTAAATCATACCTGTTCGACGGCATACCACCCCCAAACAATCGGTGCGTTAGAGCGCAATCACAAATGCTTAAACGAGTATTTGAGAATGTTCGCTAACGAACGCACAGACGATTGGGACGAGTGGTTACCATTTTATTGTTTTGCTTACAATACAACCCCAAGCACAGACCATAACTTCACTCCCTTTGAAATTATTTTTGGAAAAAGAATTAACGCTTTTGATTTTTGTGAAAACCAGCAAGTAGACCCATTATATAATCTAGATTCTTACCAAAAAGAACTAAAATTCAGATTACAAATCACTCACGCTAATGTCATGCAAACAATATTAAACAGAAAGGACAAAAGAACAAATAGTATGAACAGAACAATTACACCAACAGAATTACAAATAGGTGATACAGTATATTTACAAATTGAAAATAGGCATAAATTACAACCGATTTATAGTGGTCCCTATCAGATTGAACAACTAAAAGAATCAAATGCTATAATTATAAATCAAAATGGAAAAAGAGCAGAAGTACATAAAACAAGGTTAGTAAAAAAAAGTGAAAAAAAAGTAACAATAATCAAAATACATACACACAATGATCATCCCCCGCTATTAGGAAGGGGTGAAAGTAGTGAAATCAATAGACATTTTACATACCAACAAATTAACAAAAAAAAAAGCAGATAAATACATTCAGTGAAAGCAAACAAAATTGTGAGAGGCATTTGAAGCTAAACCGAATCTTTACCGTTAACATTTTGGCCCGTAGGGGAATGGTGTGACATGTGCATCCCACATGTCATTTCCCATGCTTTTCCATTATGCACTTCCAGCAGACCACACTAGTGGGAACATGCTGAGAAGGATAATTCTACCCGGCATTGAACCTTCAGTTCAATGCCTGTAAAATATCTGTCAGCGTTTATGGCGACAAACAGAAGTGTCGCATTACTAATTTATTGAACCATGCTGTTACCGAGTGTACAGCGATGGATTTCTATCTTTCCTTTTCTCGCATGGACAACGATCGCTGATTGGTGATCGTGTACATAGCATTTTTTATATCGGTGCTTCAAGTGTCTCCAGCTAGGAGTTTGTAATAAATTCGAGAAGACAATAAATTCATTCCAGCTTTAACCAGCAAAGAAAACGTATTGCTTCGTACGACCGTGAAATATCACAGTCAAGAAGTTAAAGTCCAGTACGGACTTTAATTACGGACTTTACATTCCCAACGTGGCATTGAAGGCGGTGATCCAGACGTTCCCGGACATGTTCAGGATGGTGCTGCAGAAATGTCTGGACGAGGGTCAGTTCCCTGATAGGTGGAAGGTACACAAGCTTGTGCTGTTACCGAAGCCCGGAAAACTGCCGGGGGATCCTGCATTGTATAGGCCAATATGCTTGCTGGATACTGTCGGAAAGCTCTTGGAGAGGATCATCCTGAACAGGCTGGCGAAATGCACGGAGAGTGAACACGGATTGTCGGAGAGGCAGTTTGGATTCCGGAAAGGGAGATCGACGGTGGATGCAATTC